AAATTTTCTGGGAGATTAGGCTTAATAATAAATAATAAAATTAGTTATGACCACACATAAAATACCTCAAAACCAAGAACTTTTCTGCACAATTATTTCCTGTTCTGGCAATCTAGGTCCAAATATCTCTTATCATGGACCAAAATAAAATCAAAATGGATTAAAGATCTAAAAAAATGTATGTGCTGGAATATAAAATAGGTAAGACTCTTGAAGACATAGGCAAGGATGTTTTGAACAGAGAACCCCAATTGTACAAAAAATAACATGAATCAATGAATGAGATTCTATTAAAAAGCTGCACAGCAAAGGAAACAACCAACGGAGTGAAAAGACAACCTACAGAATGGAAAACAAATTTTGCCAGTGATTCTTCAGACAGAAGACTAATATCTAGAATATATAAAGAACTAAAAAAACCCCCAAAAAACCAAAATAAAATACCCAATCAGAAAATGAGCAATTGAAATAAACAGAAAAAAAGTACAAATGACCAGTAAGTACATGAAAAACTGTTCAGCATCTTTGGCTATTAGAGAAATGCAAATTACAGTAACACTGAGGTTCTATCTTCAGAAAGAATGGCTACCATCAAGAGGTCAAATAAATGTTAGTGAGGTTGTGAGAAAAAAAGGAATGCTTCTACATTTTTGGTGGATTTGTAATCTAGTACAACCACTATGGAAATCAGAAAGGAGATTTCATTAAAAATGAAAACAAGAAATTCCATTTGACCCATCTATTCCCCCTTCTAGGTAGTGTCCCAAAAGTTAAAGACATTGCAATGCAGTGATTCATGCATACCTGTGTTTATAGCAGTTCAACTCATAATGGCTAAACCTTGGAAGTGGCCTTTATGTCCATGTGCAGATGAATGGATAAAAGAAATGTGATACAGTATTTATAAACAATGGAGTACTACCCTGCTATAAAGAACAATAAATTTGAGTCATCTGCAAGAAAATGGATACATCTTGAGACTGTAAAACTGAAGTAAATTAGACACACAAGCTTAAATAGCTCATGGTTTCTCTTATATTAGAAACCTCAAGCATAAAGAGTAACATAAAAGATAACAGGAAGCAGAGTGATAGATCTTTCCCAAATGGGAAGAGGAGTTAGAAGGATGGTGGGGGAAGTGGGGGGGGGGGAAGAATTTTTAAAATTTAATTTTATTGGTACATTTTAGGTACACAACATACTGATATTCATCACTGGAAATTTGCACCTTTACATAATCTTTCTTGGTTCTTATTTTTAAACCCCATCTCCTGCCCTCCCTTCAACCCCTCCATCCCTCCCTATTTACAAAGACTCTGTTTCCATTTTCTCATATTAATTCCATTCCCTTTCCTTTCCCCTATCCCTCCCACTTCCCCTCCCCCTTTGCCCCTCTTCTTCCTATTTCACATTATCTATTACACCTTTTAGTCCTTATTTATACTTTCAGTTTCCCACACTAGAGAAACTATTTGGTATTTACAAATGTGTGTCCTATTTCACTTAAGAGTATCGCCTCAATGTGCACCCATTTAGCTATAAATATCTCTAATTTCTCATTTATGGCTGAGTAGTACTCCATTTTATTAAAAAAAAAAAAACCAACACATTTTCTTTATCCAGTCTCCAGTTGATGGGCATTTGGGCTGCTTCCAAG